TTTAGCTGTTTGCAAACAAGTTGTCTCTTTGCAATTGTCTATTATATGCACAGCAGCCAGTAGAATTCCCCTTTTTATTTTTTTTCCCCGCAGACCATCTTGATTCAAAACATCTATCGTAACCCCCAAAACAGTGCACAGACGGCTGACGGCTCACACTGTAAGTCCCACAGTTGGAGAAATTTTTTTAAAGAATGGTGTTAAAGAGCCCACTCCTAATTATGAGAAAATAATGTTGGCTTCTGAGCTGCTGACATAAAGCTGTTGCAAACAGGACAAGTGACGGAACTCTTCTTGCGCATAGATCAAGAACTTGTCAAATGTGTGCAATTCAGAATGCAGAACTGACTGCATAAATTGGACTTGATGCAGTTTCTCTTTTGCACTGCAGAGTGAACCTCATTTCTTAGTAACTCTGCATTCATTTAGAGGGTTAACCTGCAGACATTTCTCAAATTCTTGATTTAACCAAAATAAAAAAAAAATAGGTATATATGTGATGTACGGTAAGTTTCCCAAAACTGTGGGTTTTCTCTCATCTTAACGCTTTTAGGAAAATGGAGATTTCATGTTATGCTGTAATTATTGTATTACTTCTTTTCCTGGGGTTTTGCTACTAAGAAACCACTCAGTAAAACTAGATTCAAATTACTATGCTTGTAACTTGAATACTGCGTCTGGATGCCATCTATTACATACCTACCTGAAATCTTGCAAAACCCCTCTATGTTGGTGAATAAAATTAAAAAAAAAAATAAAATACAATAATGGAGCATCATGAGATCTCTATTATTTACAGTGTTAGGTTGATTCAGAAAGGCCACCAGCTAAGTGAAAGTTCTCCTTCTTGGGAGAGAATAACCACCTCTCTTTTCAGCACAGACTCGGCTAAAGCGACCCTAAAGGAAACCGGTTTCTTGTTAAAATTATTTTCCATAATATAAAGTTGTTGCGTTTTGTATTTCAGACCATTGCCCTCTTGAACATTTACCGTAACCCTCAAAACTCTTCCCAGTCTGCTGACGGTTTGCGCTGTAAGTTCATACAAGTTCCTTCACTGGTTCCCTGGGCTTGATTGTCAGAGCTCAGTGTCGACTTAAGCTGGTCTACCATTTTAGTTTAACAGATCAAACTGACCACGTTTCGTTAAATGTGTCCAAAACAAACACACACAAAAAATAAAAAAATAAAAAAAAACCCTAAAACTTTTTTGTGCTGCTCACCTTCCTCCCTACTCCCAAAACTGAGGGGAATCTGAATACCATCTATTAAATCAAAAAGGGTTGAAATTGTACTTCCCCTGTAAAGCAGTCTTAGTTGCACTGCTTTCTTCCCCCCACCTTTCTCCCTGCCAGTTGCTTGCATCCTAGGAATGCTTTTCTGTATGTTTTGTGCTATCCATTAGGTTCCACTGTCTCAAAGAGCAGGACAATGACACATTGACTTCATCCAGAACAAATTTCCTGCTCTGTAAATGCTAAGAGAACTTCAATTTGAGACTTTTCAGACTGCATGCAGAAATTTGTCCTAGGTTAATGCAGCTTCCGTTTAGAGTCTACTTTAGAAGAATACACTTTGACTGACAAACGCTTCCCTTCTGGCAGCTGTCCTTTGGGATAGGTGCATGCTTAAAATGCCTTCCATGCTTTGAAAATTCAAATTCCAAAACTAAGTTGCATATTTACCTAGGAAAATATATCTTTAAAAATTCTTTTGTGGAGGGGGAAGGCATTTGGGTATGGTCATGAACTAATTTAATGACTCCTCATGAGGTAGGAATGGGCGTAAGAAAACACACCTGCTGTGAGACTGGCAGAAGTTAAATGACCAGGATTGTTGATCTGTGATTACTGATCTATCATTGTGATTCAATCATCAACATTAGAATAAGATTTCAAAATAATAATTTAAAAAAAAGTTGTAGGACCAAAAAGGATCGGTGTTATTTTCTAACTAATATTTCTTGTTGAAGTGAACATTGACTGTGTGGTAATAAAGCTTTGTTTGGTTATTCATTTTTTTGACTGTTGGATTACAGACTAGTCCAGATTAGTTACCAGCATTTGATTAGACATGCTTTGTGAAATCAGCCACTAACTTAAAAGTCAACACTGTCTCTTCTGCTTCTAAAAGTAATAACGGCCCAAAACCACCCCAAAACCACCCCAAAACCACCCCAAAACCACCCCAAAACCACCCCAAAACCACCCCAAAACCACCCCAAAACCACCCCAAAACCACCCCAAAACCACCCCAAAACCACCCCAAAACCACCCCAAAACCACCCCAAAACCACCCCAAAACCACCCCAAAACCACCCCAAAACCACCCCAAAACCACCCCAAAACCACCCCAAAACCACCCCAAAACCACCTTTCTGCAGAGTTTTTGAATGTCTCGAAAGACAGGACTTAACAGGCACCGGTAAGGAGCGCCTACGGCAAGTGTTTAGCTGATACAACGCTTTTGCCGCAACTCCCGCAGTCGTTTCACGATCAAATTCCCCGTCCAAAACCAGATTAATTCAAAGGTAACGGGGTCGGGGGGGGATCGCGAAGAACAAGTGATTTATGGCAAAAAATACCTTAAGCCACGTGTTCCTCTACGCGTTTCACAGCAAATGCTTCCGACCGTGCTCGAATTGAAAATAGCGCCTTCTTCCCTTCTCCCCCTCCCCCCCAAAAATGGTAATTTAGTAGTAAAGTGCAGTTTTAAGTTGAAATTTGAAATATTTCCGCCCTTGCGTCGGAGGTTTTGGCAGAGC